AGTTTACGCTCTTTATGAATCTCAATCATAGCCATTAATTTTTGGGAGAAAAAAAGAACCAGTGTCAAAAGAGTTATGAATACAATTTTATTTCCATCTTGAATCAAATACTATTTRATTTTTCAATGATCATTGGGAGTAATAGTAGAATAAATAATTTTGAAAAAAGGAGATATATAATTGAATTTTAAAAATTATCATCCAAGTGATACTTTAAAAATATTTTTCCCTTTTCTAATATCATTTTTTTTAATTTGTCAAATATGATCATAACAAAAAAAAAATATATTTGACAATGACGAAAGTAATTTTGGTCATAATCACTTCCAGACACACCCTTACAAACACTTAGAAAACACAAAAACAATACAATCACATTTCTAGATAAAATATTTTCCATTGTTTTTTGTTTCGAAAACAACTTTTACAAATTATCTGTCAAAATAGAGAACTTTTTTCAAACACTACTATCACTATTGATTTGCACAGGGAAAAAAAAACTTCAAAATCGAACACGATTCAATCGATTGGAATCGAACACGATTCAATCGATTGGAATCGAAGAACATGTGTGATTATAGCATATTAAATCACTCATTCACTATATACATAGTCTTCCATAAATAATCACACTTCTAAACAAATATGATGGTTCATCACTCATCCTAAAGTTCACTGCAAACATGATTCTACTTTAGAACAAGATTCTCAATTCCAATAACAACTATATTCTATCAGTGGCAATAAAACTCATCATACTAAAGTGCTTTTGATGCATGTTCAGCTGATTTCATATCCAAGTCCAGTTGATCAAGTTTTGAATAAATCTCAAAGGATTTAGGATGAGTTGCATCACCAGCTGAGAAGACATGAGATTTCTTATCTATCTCAATCCAACTCCACCCTGMACTTTTCCTTACCTTTTCTTGTTGCATCTTTTTTCTAATATCTCCCACCTGACCCCACAAACCAGCTCTAGCATAGATATGAGCAAGTGTAACATAAGGTGCAGCATTACTTGGATCCATCTCAATGAGTCGATATGCGACCTCCCTCCCGAGCTCGACCTCGCCATGAACTTTGCAAGCGCCTAATAAGGAACACCACATGACGTAATTAGATTCGTAAGGCATCTGCTCCAATAATTGCTTGGCTTTTTCTATGTGGCCATTTCTGGCATAGAGATCAATCAAACAAGCATAATGATCGATTTGAGGATCTAATCCGTATTCGCTGCCCATTTTATTGAAATATTCAACTGCCTCATCTAAAAATCCAGCATGATTGCAGGCGGTCAAAACTGCAGTAAAACAGACATGATCTGGCAAGAAACCTTCTTCAATCAACAAAATCTCAAAGAGCTTTAACGCATCTGAGCCTCTRCCACATTGAGCAAAAGCCATGATCATCGAAGTTGACAACACRCTGTTCTTTTCGACCATCTGATTGAATATAAAGAAGGCCTCATCAACACACCCACACTTTGAGTACATATCTATCAAAGAACAGACCACAAACACATTATTTTCTGATCCCATTTTTGTAACTAGAGAGTGCACTTGCCTTCCTTGTTCAAGCACTGTTAGACTCCCACAAGCATTTAAAACACTGGTTAATGTATGATCAGTTGGGCTCAAACTACTAGACCTCATTTCTACAAACARTTTCAATGCCTCTTCCCCATGTAAGTTTTGAGAATACCCTGATATCATAGAATTAAATATGATATTATCCTTCCCTCTTGTCTCATAAAAAAGCAGAGCAGCATCTCCTATTCTTCCTAGTTTTGAGTAACAATCAATAGTGGAGCTAATAACAAAACTGCTAAATGTAAAACCAAATTTGATAACATGAGCATGAAGCAAATTTGCAAGACGAAGCTGAAGATCATCCTCTAGTGTTGGACATGAACTAATAACGGTGGCATAAGTAAAACAGTTGGGTCTACCCTGAGTTACCAACATTTCCTTAAACATGAAGATGGCTTCGCTCCCACGCCCATTTTSGGAAAGTCCAGATATTAWAGAAGTCCAAGAAACTTGATCGTGAGTTCTCATGCCAAAGAAGACTCGTTTTGCATCCACGATGGCATTACATTTGGCRTATAAATCAACCAGTGCACTGTTCAAAAATAAGTTCTCTTCAMATCCAATTTTAACAATCTGGGCGTGAATTTGCAGACCATTAAACAAATTCAGAGTCTTGGCACAAGAATTAAGAGCAGAGCAGAGAGCATACTTTGTCAATTTTGCTCCTAAGYTGCACATCCTGCAAACTTTGACTAATTAATTTGCGTTTTCTTTTACCAAGAAATCCAACTTTACTACCAGCAGCAAGATTAGGGTTATCAAGTTCAAGTTCAACTAATGGAACACTTTGACTAGAATGACCTTTTTTAGAAAACTCAGATGAAGCCATCCAGTGAATTAATAAGATAAAATTAAACCTTCTAAATAAAAACAAACCGAAAATGTCAAGAAACTCAACTAAAAAAATGCAAATCAATGTTGGAATCATGAAACTCRAACTAAGAACATAATCATTAGTACTCCACGTTTCCTCAAGAAAATGCACATCAACATCATCGAATCTCATCGAGTAAACACCCAAAGTAAATACAACATTAAATTTACTTCTTTTTTTTTTTTATATCCATGTGTCCGGACCAGGTTACACGCACCTCGATTATTCACGGGCCAACTGCCTGACCCTACTATATTTGGTTGACAAGGAAACTCGTAGGATATTAAATCCTAAGTAGGTGGCCACCATGGTTTGAACTCATTCCCTCTAAGTCCTTTGCTATTTACATTGGTCTTCATCAACCACTTGGACCATCCCATTATGGTAAATTTACTTTAAAATAAACTAGTTCGAAGCAAAAGCGATGAAATGTTTAGAAATTACTAAATAGAATCTTACTCGTTCACGTTGAGAACTCGTTGGCCTTCGAAGCATCGTGGGTTGCCCGCATCGAGGGTCGTGGCTCTCCCCAACTTTTATTCTTCTCCTCCTAATTTTCCTCTCCCACGTCCCACCCAATCTCCACCCACTTCTWCTCCTCCTAATTTCCTTTTTTCAAATTTTAAAGAATGCACAAATGCTTTTAGTAAGCATAAAACAAAATGCATTTCGAAATTTCRGTCTCATGCTCAAAACAAGGTTTGAATCACAGACTTGGATTTAATCAAACAATTCAATTCTGGGTATTTACAGAAACAACTTCAACCCCACCGCTATCTTACTATTAAACATCTACATTTTCAAAGTCCAACTCCCGCACGCAACTACTCAAGCAATGCCCTCAGTTTCAGACACACTCAGATTATTAGCAGTGCACTCAAATAACAATCGGTATCCAGGGTAATTTCAGAGCAACTAATGAGTTTGGATAATCGTACAAGAAGAAACACCAAACCAAGTGAAATTCGACATATTAACGAACAGCTAGTTCTATACATCYGAGGCTAACCCATTTAGCGCAAGGGAGAAAGGATGGCACCATCCAAACAGCAATAACAAATTTCCATGCTATTTCGATAACTCAGATGTGTAAAATCAGAAATATCAACTTTTGTATACGAGACGTACCGAGCTTCGACGAGGTGAGAGTTGAACTGAGACAAAGGGTGGTCCACTGCGATTTTATAATGAAAGCAGAGGAGGAGGAAGATCCATTAAAGATGGTCGCCGTCGCTGGAGATGGTCGCCGTCGCCGGAGATGGTCGCCTCCGCCGGAGATGGTCGCAGAGAGAGAGAGTGAAGGGGGGGTCGTGAACTCATATTGATCAAAGAGGGGGACGGCACACACAAGTAGGTGTTTTACAAAAGGAATAAAATTCCCATTTCCTAGTGAGAGCGAGGTTAGAATTGGCTCCTCAATCTAAAAATTATATATTATTTAATATCTTATTATTTTTATTTCATTCTCAGACTTGGGTTCATCAAACAACTCAATTCTGGGTCCTCACAGAAACAACTTCAACCCCATCACTATCCTACTACTTTTTTGCCATCGCTATCTTACTATTACACATCTCCATTGGCAACTATTACACATCTCCATTATCAAATGCCACCTCTCGCATGAAACTACTCAAGCACAAGGCACACTCAGATTATTAGCAGTGCACTCAAATAACAATCGGTAGTAGGGTGATTTCTGAGAAACAAATGAGATTCTAACAATGCAGCAAGCGATGGATGTTCATCCCTCTTAGCAACATTCTGGAAATCCCTCCAATAATGGACAATTACAATTAACATTTCAAACAAACAAACAAGAAATTTTTTCATATGCACCAGGCAATCCGAATCCTATAAAAATCTTTAGAAGAAATGCAAGAACAAGGGAAATTAAAGATTACGAGAGTCGATAAGTAGAAATCTGGAAGGGAAGAACATGGGTTTGGATTATCGTACMAGAAGAAACACCAAACCAAGTGTCTAGGGGTGTTTACGGGTTGGGTTGGGTCGGGTTAGGGGGTTTTTTGGGCCCAACCCAACTCCTCCAACTAGCTCCAACTGCAGGATAGCCGCACAATTACTTCATACGATAATTATTAACTATTAATTGGCTACCATAATTGCAGAATAGCCACATACCTACATCTCCTATCATCAAAACTATATGCATGTTTGAATAATTATAAAAGGACGTGATTCATACAATGATTACGATTAAAATTAAAAAGAAAAAAACTTGACATATTAAAATTATACCTCAGTGAATAACCGTTCAATGGCTTATTGATGAGGCACGAGGCTATGAATCCACCACAAAGCTCTAGGTGAAGAACTAATTGAGCAATGTTACAGAAGCAAGTCAATCCATTGTTCCACTATTTTTAGTATCCAATTTCTTAATGAAAAAAGAAAATCTCAATCAAGTCCAAACTTGAACTTAGTAAAAATCAAACTCTCCTAGAACTCATAAATTATTTATGAAGGACATATTTCAACACACATATTATTAGGAATTAATACAAATGATAGATTTCAGAAAACACATCTAGATGAAAAAAGACTACAACTACCRGCGCATAACACGCATTAAAAGAAGCATYTGTTTAATAAAGATGATGAAAATCACCATCTTTTATTATATCACGCTACATACCTTAKTATCAACCTCGGTTTTTTTCTATCTAAAATACATCAAAGAATAAAATAATAAGATAAAGCAGATGTACAAACATAATACAATATACAAGTTAACGGTAGTAAGATAACACTAAACAAAATATAACATCCATGAATAGTGTTTGGAATTAAATGAACATTTACTTCTTTAAATATACAAGTTAATGGKAGTAAGATAACACTTAACAAGTCAAATTAGGAAAAATTGAGTGAGGGAAGACAGCAAACAGAAGCTTGAATGATGGGTCTAAATTTCTGCCTAGTAAAAAACATATTCTCTTAATGTTCCCGAATGTGTTAKGTGATGTTTTATAAATTCAACAATCCATTATGATATGAAGATATGTTGATCCAATCCATCATGCGACAATTCATCATCCAATTCCAAACCAAACATCAAAAAATGTGCTCTCTGGTTAATCTCAAAGTATATAAAAGTTAAAACAACAAGGAGAACAAATTCTGTTAAAAGAAACAGCCAATTAAGAAGAAAAACGTGACCAAATCCRCCTGCCCTCCTAACCATCCCTAGAGCCTCTTTGAGGATTTGAACTTAAATAATAGAGTTTGCAAGAACCAATAATACTTCCAAAATTTCAGCACCCAATAAAAAATACATACCAAAATCTTAGAAGTTTATATGAATAATGAATGAATCTTTGGTAATTAACAAAGAAACACATTGGAACCTACCTTTTGGAGCGTRTGTGCCCTCTTCTTACATCCACTCCCAACATTTTTCTCCTCTAACCCCACTTCCACTCAGATTCCAAAGGCTCCAAACTAACCCAAATTGTAATCACACACCAAAAARTAAAAGAAAAGAAAAGAAAGCCAACCCCCAAACTAGAAATGGAAGTAACGAAATAGAGAGAAAAAAATGAAAGTAGCCCAGATGGAAGTAACCAGAAAGTGATCAAGAAAAAGGGAAAGGCTGTTRCAGACAACAAAAACGTTAAATCAGATCAAAAATCAAAAACCACAGAAGAATGAGCCATCAGAGATTCAAAATTCAGGCTGAAATTTAAACAGGTAACGCTGCAAAGAAAAAAAAAATCAAATCCATCCCACTATCGAATTTACGTTGAACGACCCAACGATTGAGAGTCCTCACCCTGGAGGAAAACTAATGGTGAAAACGAAAATGGTAAAGCATAAAGAAGAAAGATAAACCTTTTAAATTTTGGATAACGACGTCGTTGGATGTTTTTTATTTTTATTTTTGCTAATTTTGAGCTACGCCAAGTCGGAATAAATTAAAGAACTCTCTAATTAAAACGACTACAACAACAAAAATCAATAAAAAAGACTACCATGATTGTTGATGAAAATCTCGTACTTGGATTCAGAAAGCTGAAACCAGAGCCGAAATGATGCAGGAGAAGTTTCTGGGGAAYAGAAACCGGCGATATTTGAGACGACGGCGTGGAGAAGGAAATTAACAGCGGGACAAAACGAATAAGAAATTATGGGAGATGGAGAAGGAAATTAGCAGCGACAAAAACGACGCTGTTTTAGTTTCTTTTTTTATTTATCGTCATAAACAATTTAATAAATTTATATTGCGTTGAAATAATAAAATTTCTTCTGGTTCATTACTCGTTAGTGCACTTAAAATTTCTATCTCCAAATTCAATCCCCATTATGCTCAAATTTTTGCTTTTTTTTTAATATATATTTTCATTTATTCAACTTTTAATAAATTTGTAATACTAATAATAAGTTGAGTATCTCGAGAAGATCCTAGCCGCTCGTTGATTACACGTGTACGGCGCAGAGGTTTTTCCGATCAGCTATAAATAGTCCCGAAATTTCAGGTCAAACCTTAGTTTCCTGAATTTTTGGAGTTCGATCTGAAACCTGCTCGAACCCTTTCTGTAGGTCAGTCACTTTTCCTTRTTCTTATTCTTCTTTCAAACATGGTAGTTTTCTTGTCTTCCCCCTCCAGTAGTGATACCATAGGTAGTGCGGGTCGGACCATAAGTAGTTCGCCMCCCAAACCAAGCGATTCTGGGGAGGTCCTAGCTCGTAGGTTAGAGTCTGAGCTAAATGAAATAGAGAACTTTAGGTTCTCARATGATGGAGAGGATAGTGATACCTCCACTTCGGGCCAGGGTCTGGAGTACCCTTCAAAGATGCCCGAGCACTATCTCGAACTCCTCCGTAAGGGGTTTAAAATTCCGAACGATATCCTTCTTAGGATTCCAGAGGAAGGGGAAAGAGCTGACAATCCCCCAGAGGGATGGGTCACTCTTTATTTAAAGATGTTTGAGTACGGCCTCAGACTTCCCCTTCATCCCTTTGCCCATGAGTTTTTAAACCGAACTGGACTGTCTCTTGCTCAAGTGGCCCTCAATGGGTGGGGTGTCATTTTTGCTTTAGCCATTCTTTTTTGGTTGCGAGCTCGGGACGAGGATGAGGTCGAGCTGCTAAGCGTTGACCAACTTCTTGGGTGTTTTGAGGCCAAGAGGATAGCTAAAAAACCAGGTCGGTACTATATGTGCGCGAGGAAGGGCGCGGGTGGCATAGTCAAGGGGCCGACCTCCATCAAGGGATGGGTAGGTAAATGGTTCTTTGCCTCARGTGAATGGCTAGYAAATGACGAGTCAGGTCATCCCTTCTTTGATGTGCCTGTTAGGTTTGGGAACCTAGGTATGAGGTCGTTGCGTTTACCTCTTTAAATTTTTCCATTCTTCCCTTTTCATGTCTAACTTGAATCTTTTTTGTCTTGTGCAGTGTCGATCAAACCAATCCCTGAGCTTACACAAGCCTCTTTCGACACCCTCAAATTTTACAAAGATCACTTCCTTAGAGGTCGRAAGATCGGAACTTYGGTGACCGAYAAGCTGCTTCTGGAATCTGGGTTGTTAGACTACAACCCCTTAGTGCGCCCGGTTGAAGCTTCAAGGCCAAATTCCGAGCWCGGTAAGCCGTGCTCGATCTCGACTTCAATCTCAATTTTTTAAGTTTTCATTTCTRACTTTCCGTTTTATTCGTATTGCAGCCATGGTGTGTGGATTCACGAGCARCGTGAAACGTAAGTCTAAGGGTCGTGCTCACGCCCTTAAGACAGTTCAAAGCTCTGATCCAGTGACTCCCGCTGTGGACCAACCTGCAGCTCAGGACCAGGCTGGGCCATCAACTGAAGTTCCAACTCCGGTGATCGACTTGGATTCTACTGGGGAGCGCTCCAGGGAGAAGCGCTCGAGGAGCGAGTCTGAAGCGTTGGACGTGTCACCTCTCCGCGAAGTGAGAGAGGGTTCTCCTTTGAAGAGAAGGAAGAAAAAGAAGAAAGCCACCTCCTTCTTGGAGGTTGGACCTCGTGGCCCCCTGCCCTCAAGCCACGCCGACCTGGTAGATGACTCGACAGCTCGGATGGGGGGGACATCCGACGTGAAGATGCGGTTTAGAACGGAACCGTCAAGCTCCGGGGTGAAAGACCAGGTGTCACGCGTCTCGGCTGCCTGCTTGGATCGCTGTCTCAGAAGAGCATYCAAGTTTGTAAGCGATCTTGGGTCCGTACTGCAACGGACAATCGATCATRCTGTCGAGGTAAAATATACTTCTGAACTTTGTTTTTAATTTCTTAACTTGCGATTTAGTCTAACATATGTTTGCCTTCTGCGCTCTACAGGCGTTCACTGCCTCCATCCATTMAGCGATCATGATCAAAGCCGAGCTGGATGGAAGGGAGGCCTTGGCAGCGAAAGAGAGGGARAATTCTTYTRCTGCCTTGGAGGCTGTCACTACGCTCAAGGGCGAGCTGCTGAAGGCTCGGAGCRAGGTGAACATACTGAGGGCCGAGGTTGAAGCCAARGCCGAGCTGCTGAAGAGGGAGGATGAGAGGCATAAGGCCCACCTCCGAGCTGCCCACGCCATCACCAAAGGGCTGGAGAAGGAAAAGTTCMAACTCSTTAAGGAGAAGGACGACATGCTCCAGGCCCTTGAAGGGAAGGACGCTGCAATTGGGCGTCTCAATGCTGAACTGAAGGCGGAGAATGAGCGCCTCGCCAACRGAGCACTCCTTGAAGCGGCCTTCAGGCAACACCCAGATTTTGATGGGTTTGCCAAAGACTTCAGCGATGCAGGCTTCAAATTTCTGATGAAGGGCATCACTGCTGACATGCCGCACCTCCAGGTCGACCTCGGCGATCTGAAGAAGAGGTACGCGGAGAAATGGGCTYCTGGGCCTAACAGCACTCCAGGTCCTGCATCCCTGGTGGACAAGTATGTYAGAGATCTAGACTCTGACTACTCCGACCTRGATGAAGACGAGGCCCCAAGTCAGGAGCCTACTGAGGTCGGCACTACCCAGRAGGGAGCTCCTTCTCAGCAGAACGGATCWCAGGAGGTCAACCTTCTRRGCTCTCAAGGCGAGCTGTCCTCCCACCTCGGAAGTAGCTGAGGCTCTCTTTTCTTATTTCTTTTGTAAGTTTTTTGGGCAGAGCTGCAAGGTATATAAGCATTGGCTCTGTCCTTTTAATCAATGAAATCGTYTTTCTCCACTTCTGTTMTTTTACTGCTTTTTCCTTAATCTTTTTAAACTTGCTTTTGTAAGCTGGAACTGATCTATGTATAATTTCCATGTCGCACCTCTTAACTCGTAAGTTTGAAGGATTGAGCGTGAGATACTTTTTCACATCGCACCCTTAAGGTTTGAATCTGAGTTTCTTTAAYTGGTCCTTAATATTTCTCTTCGAACTCAGAAGTCCAGAAGATAATACTAAGCAACAATTTGAACTTCCTACATCGCACCTTTAACTTGAACGTTTAAAGGGTTGAATTTTTAGTCCATAATTAGTATTCACATCGCACCTCGAACCCGTAGGTTTAGAGGACCGAATTTCCTGAACCTTCAACATCGCACCTTTAACTTGAACGTTTAAAGGGTTGAATTTTTGGTTCGTAATTGATTTTGACATCGCACCTCGAACCCGTGGGTTCTGAGGATCGAATTTGATTAATTTTTGCCCWTACCTTGCCGATTTTAAGTCTTATGGGAGTCCGTGGCCCCATTTAATTTCTAATCGAACTCGGAGTTATGAAATTAAATCACTCCATTTATTAAAAGTTCCGCCCCTTGAAAATTTTTACAAGCCCCTTTTAGGACTATTTTGACATTTCAGGGGTAATAGCGCTTCAAGTGCTTCGMGTTCCATGGATACACAAACACTCTTCCTTCCAGGTCAGCTAGCATATAAGTTCCAGGTCGGACTATGCCTTTGACCTCGAACGGTCCCTCCCAACTTGGGTCAAGGGTGCCCACATGACTCTRGACTCTCYTTAAGACCAAATGTCCAACTTGAAAGCTTCGAGGTCAAACTCGGGCATTGTAATGTCTGGCCATTCTGTTCTGATACTCTGCTAGGCGCAGCTGAGCCATTTCCCTCTTTTCTTCCAATAAGTCCAGGTTAAGGAGTAGCTCTTCTTCGTTCTTCGCTGGCTCGTATTGCTCTACCCTGTCTSTTGGTATGCCGATCTCGACTGGTACAACAGCTTCGGAGCCAAAGGCTAGYGAGAACGGAGTTTCACCGGTTGACTCTCTCGGGGTGGTTCAATATGACCATAATACTTCAGGCAGCTCCTCGGCCCATCTTCCCTTTCTGGAATCCAGTCTTATCTTGAGGCCTCGTTTTATGATTTTGTTTATCGCCTCAACCTGCCCATTTGACTTTGGATGCGCAGGGGACGAGCTGAGGTGGCTTATGCCCAACTTTCTGCAAAAGTCCTTGAACTTTGCATTGTCGAATTGCTTTCCGTTGTCTGTCACAATGGCGTTCGGTATGCCGAAACGGCATACGATGCTTGACCATATAAAAGATGTGATCCTGGACTCCGTGATGTGGGATAACGCCTCG